CGGCTTGTGCCGAGGTCGCCAAGTAGAGACCGAGGGTTTCGCCTGGCTTGGGCAAGGCGAGTCGGGGCAAGCGGGCGAGGCACGCCTTCAACTTTTCAAAGGCTTCCTCGCACTCCGAGGTCCAAGTAAAGTTGTCAACCCATCGTAGAGCCCAAAAAAAGGGGAGGCATTTGTCGCCTGAATGCGACACGAACCTATTGAGCGCTGCTAGCCTCCCAGCAAGTCGCTACACCTCTTTGGCCAAGCGGGGGGAGCACATCTCGGTAACAGCCCGTACCTTTTCCGGGTTGGCGTCTATCTCTCGTTGGTGAATGACAAAGCCGAGGAACCTCCTTGAGCTAACCCCGAAGATGCACTTTGCAGGGTTCAGACACATGTTGAACCGCCTGAGCGTTTGGAATGTTTCCGCCAAGTCCGCCAGGTCGGCTAGGTGTGTTCTTGCGACCTTGCTCTTCACAATCATATCGTCTACATACACCTCCATATTCCTCCCGAGCTGGTGTTTGAAAAGTTTGTCGACCATCCTTTGGTAAGTCGCCCCAGCGTTCTGTAGGCCGAAGGGCATCACCTTGTAACAATATGCCCCTCGGTTGGTGACGAAGGCAGTGTCTTCTTGGTCCGGGGTCGCCATCCGGATTTGGTTGTAGCCCGAGAATGCATCCATGAACATAAGGCGTTCATGACCAGCGGTGGCGTCGACTAACTGGTCTATCCTAGGAGCAGATAGCAGTCCTTGGGGCATGCCCGGTTGAGATCGATGTAATCAACATACATCCTCCAGCTTCTATTAGGTTTTTTAATGAGGACTACATTCAACAGCCACCGAGGGTATTTAACCTCAGTAATGAATCCGACCTTTATAAGGCGATCGACCTCGTCCTCGATCGCCTTCTGTCGGTCAGGGGCGAACCTCCTTGGTCTTTGTTTTATCGGTCGTGCCTCAGGGTCGATGTTGAGCTGGTGTTGAGCCACCTCTGAGTTGATCCTGGGCATCTCCTCGGGGGACCACGCGAATATGTCGGCGTTCTTCCTCAGGAAGTCAATGAGGTGGAGCTGGTCTGCTTCGGAGAGCGTGGCTCCGACCTTGACGGTCTGGTCGAGGCGGCTCCTCTTCAAAGGTACCTCAATGAGGGCTCGGGAGGCTCCAGCGACATTTGTGGTACGGGTTCTTCCCGGGGATCGAGAACCAGAGTTGGGTGCGGCTTTCTTGGGAGAGTAACCGCGACAAGGTAGTATCGCTTTGACTCCCCTGGGTCACTTCGGGCCTCCTCGATTCCTGCTAAGGTCGGAAACTCGATGGTCCTATGATATGTGGAGATCACCGCCTTTATCTTGTTGAGCGTTGGGCGGCCGAGGATGACGTTGTAGGCTGAGGGCAAGTCGACTACCATGAAGGTGATCATTATCGTCTTCGCCCTCACCTCCTCCCCAATGGTAACGGGGAGGACCGTGGTCCCGAGCGGGGAAACGGAGTCCCCTGTGAATCCTGTGAGGGCTGACGTCATAGGGGTAAGGTCTCCCTTGGTCAGGCCAAGCTTCTCGAAGGCGTCGAAGTAAAGAAGAACGTCGACGGAGCTCCCGGTGTCAACCATCAACCTCTTAACTCGGGCATTGGCGATCTGGATGGAGATCACCAGAGCGTTGTCATGGTGGGAGCACTCGGCCTCCCCGGCCCCGAAGGTGATTTTGGGCTCAAGCTCAGGCTAGGGACGTTTCTCGACAGTGTTGCGGGCGTAGGCCTTTCTCGCTGTAGAGCTGCTGCCATCGGCCGCTGGTCCCTCGGAGATGACGTCGATTTGTCTCTCGACGGGTCCCTTGGGGCGTGGAGTCACCTCCGGGGATTTGAGGTAACGTCCGGGTGACCTCTCCGGATCAGCGCCTCTATTTGATTCTGGAGGTCACGGCAGTCCTTCGTGTCATGACCGTAGTCCCGATGGAACCTGCAATATTTAGACCGATCTTTGTGAGTGGCCTTCATAGGACGAGGTTGTTGCAAGATACCTGTCTCCTTGATTTGGAGGAAGATCTCGGTGCGGGATGTATTTAGGGGGAGAGGCGGGGGCCTCGGGAGCGGTAGCTCTTGCCGGCCAAGCTCGCGGCGGGGTGTCGCCGAGGCTGCTTAGGTCGTTCCCTAGGACAGTTCCGCCATTGGCCTCTTGCCTTCCACACGCTTCCCCGCCACCAGCACCTCGGCGACGACGTATTGGTTGGCGCATTGCAGCATTTCGGAGATGGTCATTGGCGGCTTCTCGATCAGCGACCAGAAGAACCTCGAAGGCTTTAAACCCATTAGAAAGGCCTGCAAGATTAGAGAGGGGTGAACGTTCGGAAACCCCTGGATCTCGGTGGCAAAACGTGCCACAAACTGAGAGAGCGGCTCGTCCTCGCATTGGGATAGCGCGAGCAGGATGGTCATGGAAGGCTTGGGTCGCGTGCTGACGAGGAAGTTTTGCTCGAACTCCCCGGCAAGCTAGTCAAAGGATGAGACTGAGGATTGATGTAGCCGGCTGAACCACGTTCGTGCCGGCCCCCTCAGAGTGGTTGGAAATGCCTGGGACATCAGTGCATCAAAGGTGCCGTAGAGGGCCATTTGGGCTCGGAATGCGGAGACGTGCTCCATGGGATTGGAGCTGCCGTCATATGTCTCCAATGTTGGCAGCCTGAAGTTGAGGGGTACTGGCTTGTCCTGTACTTCTTGAGTGAGCGTCTGCATCATGCTTGTCATGGCCTGCACTTGCTTGGTTAGGCTAAGGAACGCCTCGGGTGTCATGACCGAGGGCCTTATGGTGAGCCCTAGGGGCGACAATCCCGGGTCGTTGAACAAACGCCAGTAGCGATCTGGCGTCAAAGCTGGGATCCCCCCGTCTTCGAGGGCGGGGAGGGCTTGACTTTCTAACTTGACAGAAGGGAGGTCGGTCGGTAGTCCCCTCTCGGGGAGAACTCCTGTCGGCTGCTCCTACGACATAGCCCTCCTTCTAGCGCTAAAATGTTAGTGAACAAAAGTACCGTGGCTGATGAGTTAGCACGGTTAGGTTTGATGGTCGATATCGGGAGCTTCTTGCGGGGTGAGTAGGATGATGAGGTGGTCGTGCCCTCAAGAAGGAATGTTGGCTGACGTTGATCGTGATCCGGGCCGGCTCACTGCTCTCCTTTGTGCGATGGAAGGAGCCTCCTGGGTCAAGACGTTCGCGGGTCGGGAGTGACCGTTTTGGAGTAACTCGGACAAGAGTCGGGCTAGCGGGGTCGATTGGGCCCTTGTGAGAGGATGTTGATCCGAGTTTCTTGGTTTGCCGACTCGGGCGATGTTTGTGGTGGAATGCGTCTCTCCGACCCTAGGATGAATGATAGCGCGTCCTTATGTACTAGATGGCAATTCCCGGATTGAGGCGTTCGCTGCTCGGGGTGTCCGCCTTCTTGCAAAATGGCCTTCGTCGAGTGCTTCCCGACTTTGGCCCCTCCGACGAGTAAGTCAGTGGAGTATTTGATATTTAGTTTTTTCTCTCCCCTGGTCGGGCGTCGGCCGAGGTTTATGTACTATTGTGTGAGGATTGGTTGCACCTAGATTCGGTGTGGTCGTTGACCCTTGTGGGATGTGATGGCTTTTCTGACGAGTGAGCGTCTTGGGGGATGCCTGAGCGGTGTCAGACGGTACCGCCCCGAGCCCTCGGGACAATCGTGTCGCATAGTATCTTGGTATGAAACCTGGCTTGACGTGCGTCACGGGGTTCCGATAGCGTGCGGCATTGGATTCTAATATTAGTTGGGATATGGCGTGTGACATCGACTCATCTGGGGGCCACTGTATCCATTTGATAAACTAAGTCAACTACTGTTTGAACGAGACATAATTATCGATTTAAGTTTCAACATATTAATTTTCGAGTTTGACAAGAATACATGTTGTACATCATTAACTTTGTAGGTATGTATGTATACACATATGTATAATTACAACACGTAATATATAAAATTTTATAATGACTAATTTAAGTCATTCTAGTTAGGGTGAACATACTACATTAAATACACACTAAAAAATAAATTTAAACTATGTCAAGATACCAATGCAACCTAAAAACTTTAACTTGTAGGTTACAAGTTAAACCTATTATATATAACCTAATTCTTTTAACGATATTCTTTTTCATATATATATATATATATATATATATATATATATATATATATATATATATATATATATATATATATATATGTTATCGTAATTAAATTCCTGATAATTTTTATTAATAAAAAAAAAGAAACTATACATTAGTTACAAACACCGAATCCAAGTAGTTCTCGTAACGCGTACAACATCCAAAATCTCTGTTGACGAAACATCATCGTATGCATGCATCAATGGATCTAATAAAATTCGTTTATCGCTCTATTTCCTTCGTATGCATCATCGTATCGTATGATTACTGCTGAAGTGGGTGGCCAAAACTGATGTCACACTTTATTCCCTCTCACTATCTAAAGAAGACATTCGCACTACAGAAAACTTAACATGAGGTCAGTCAGATTCTAAAACATAAAAAGGAAATTACCGTTGACTAAGTTCAGAATAAACCTAAAGATTTAAAACGTCCCATGAGGTCGGAATTCCGCAGCACCCTTCGGTACGGTATGGCTGGCTGGCTACTGCCTCGGAGCAGATCAATTCCTTAGGGTACCTGCAACTAAACGTACGGCCAAAATAATTTACATCGATTGTTTGTTTGGTGATCATATCCACTACCAGTTAGTTAGTTAATTTTGATCCACCCATGCCAACAATAATTGACCTCAGCAAACAGATTCCATATTCCACCTTTTTCAATAAAGGCAAATAAAACCTTCCCTTGGATGGATGTGAAACAAACCGTCATTTCCGGCCTGCCATTCCAATGACGATACCGCTCTTAGATTATTGATTTCTTTCTTATTATTATTATTATTATTATTATTATTATTATTATATATATATATATATATATATATATAGAGGAGTCCCCAAGTCATATCTTCCGTCAGGGGTTCATCGGCACCCGGCGCACGACTTGTAAAGTACGCGTGTCGTTCACAGTTTGTACCCAATGGCAGAAGCTGACGCCACCCCTCCCACCCAAAGCCTTGAGCCTCTCTCGGCCTCTGCTGCCGCTGCGACACAAGCTCTGGACCCTGTGATGGAGGGGGAGATGCAGGCGGCGGCGGGGGCGCGGGCGACGCCGTGGTCGCGGCTGAGCTGCGACCTCGTCGAGCTCATCTTTTCCTACCTGCCACTACGGTCGGTCGTGGTTGCCGGAGCCGTCTGTAGGCAGTGGCGCGCCTTGGTCTCGGACCCCGGCTTCGCCGCTGGCGCCGCAGCGTACCGTCGGAGGAGGCCCTGGTTCTTCCTCTACGGCCAGAACAACGTCGTCCTCAGCAAGAACCAGGCGTTCGGCTTCGACCCGGACGACGGCGAGTGGATCGCCCTCCCGTCGTCGCCCTCCGCCCTCCACGTGGACTGCTTCGCTGGCGCCGGCGGGTTCTTCTTCGCCACCACCTCCTCCACCCGCTTCTGCTACGCGCCGCTCCTCCGCGGGCCCTGGCGCGAGACCTCCCCGCTCTTCTTCTCCCGCTGCAACCCCCTCGTCGGCGTCTTCTTCGCCGCCGGAGGCCACCGGCGGTTCGTCGTCGTCGGGGGAGCGCGATTCATTGGTGGGCTTGTCGACATCGAGGACCCCCTCGCCGTGGAGATCTACGACCCGGCGACCGACTCGTGGGAGCTCTGCCCCCCTCTCCCGCCGGAGTTCCGCATCGGAAACTCGTCGCAGTGGCTCTCCGCCGCGCTGCTGGGTGGCCGCTTCTTCTTCGTGTTCGGAATCTACTCCTGCTCCATCGCGGCCTTCGATCTAAGTAGCCGCGCCTGGACGGGAGTCCGGGTCCTCCGGCCGCCGGGGGTGCTCTTCTCCTTCCTCCTCGCTTGCGGCGACAGGCTCATCCTCGCCGGGCTCTGCAACACGCCCGTGGGGCCCCCCTGTTTCGCCCTGTGGGCCGTCGACCACTGCTCCATGGACTTCGCGGAGATCGGCGTGATGCCAAGGGACCTCCTTTCGTGCCTCTTCGACACCGACGACGACGACAACAAGTTCGCCAGCCTCAAGTGCGTCGGCCTGGACGGCCTCGTCTATGTATTCAACGAAGACCACCACAAGGCCTACCCGGCCTGCGTCTGCGAGATCTCCGACGGCTCCACCGCGAAGCGTGCCGACTCTACCTCGGGGCTGAACCTGAGCTGTTCTTGGAGAAAGGTGCCACCTTTACCTGGTCCCGTGGATCGATTCCACAAGGTGATAGCTTTCTGCTCCCCTGTTCCGGCAGACTCTGTGCTCGGCGGCGGTGTGGATAGAGAGCCGTGACGCTTCATACGCAGGTTGTTTGGGATAGTTCTCTGTTGTCGTCTCTCTCAAATCAGCAGGATTGTTCTGTGTCGATGGATAATCTTGCTGTAGTCTCAAGCAATTCCAGTTGTTGATTTGAAGTGTGATTTCTGCTCCGACGGGATTGTAATCGATCAATAGTTCCTTTTGGAACAGATAAGATGTCTATTTCACATACATACCGATGTTGCTACTGAGTAGTTCAAAGAATGGGGTGGCAGAGACTTACGTCTTCCTTGCACGAATCTTGTCATCTTCCATGGCATCTACTATTCCTCTTCTCCTCCTTTGCTCGAGTCCATCAGACTCCGCCGCGATTTCTTTTTTTATCCCTTTGTCTATGGAGAAAGCTTAAAGCTTTGCAACCGCTCATAATCGTCAATCCAAAAATGTATCCGTCTGAAATCCTCCAGATGTCTGATTCTGACATGTTCCATTGGGAATCCATGCATCCCCTGAGCAAAAAAGCATTCGAGCAGCAGCAGAAGGTAAATCAATGGCCGTGTACATCGATCAGCAGAAGGTAAATCAATGGCCGTGTACATTTGACCTGCCTTGCCATTCTTCCAGATAAATCCATCCTCATCGTGTCACTTCCCACGCAATTTCTTTTCGTCTAAGACGATTCCATCGTCCGTATGATCTTTGGAGATGGAAAGTAACTTCTACCCTCTCGCATTTAAACTCGGATATGTTCTCACGTCAGATGGTGGATACTGCCAACCATGTGATTCAGCATCCAACTGTGCACTTTGACCGCAAATTCTACCATCGAATCGTCCAAGAAACATTACTCTGTAGATGGAAACTGGGGACCGGCCATGTCGCTGGCATATAAAGCACAACCTTCTTGACTGCTGGCAACCACCAGCAAAGAGCTGCAAGAGCAAATATCAAGAAGATGAAGCGCTTGATAGTGGCGAAAATGGAGAAACCTGCGAGTCCCAATGCCTCCTTCAAACTAACAAGTCAACTGAGAACCGCCGCAGATGGTGATCCCATGTACGTATGTAATACCTGAGGAGATGAATCCGTGCATAACATTCTTACTTGATGAAAGCCGTGGAACTGTAGCACATCATGCAGCGCAAATGTCTTCTATCAGTTATGGGCTTGCAGTGGTCCTCGGTTCTTTGTGAACCATACACAAAGAACAAGATAAGGCTGTGGCTCTGATGCTAGAGAGACGTCGATCATGTGCATCCACAAGGAATCTGGGCCCTTCGCCACCTCCGTTCCCAGCTCATCTCCTGCCGAGCCAATCGGTAACAGAGCAGCAATGAGAACAATTGTGACAGCACAACCTCTCGCTGTAGTCTTCTGCATCGTGGCAACTCCATCCTGTGCAGGTATCAGAAATCAGCGGCACCAGATGCTGCAACAATGGTACCATTGCTTTGTGCCAGTGCTAGGCAGATTCCACGGCAAATCTCAGACTCATAACTCGTAAGAGCCGTCCACGTCCTGCTTAATGATATTTTCAGAAATGAATGGTTTAGAAAGCAGCATCAGCTATTTATTATGGAAGTAACAGTTCTGAATCAGCAATTAATATATATATATATATATATATATATATATATATATATATATATATATATATATATATATATATATATATAAAGTTGAATTCTAGAAGAAATAGTGTTCATGGCTGCCTAGTTTTGTTCTAGACATTTGAAGTGGAGCCAAGAAAACATTATTAGAACCTAATTCAAACAATGTAGCTGAGATTTATTTACACATGATTGCATGACACTCGCTTCCAGCTTCTGTCCAATATACAATTATTTGAAGTAGAAAGAGCAACAGTTGCATGCAATCATGTCTCTGATCTTTTCCTGGAACTTGGGTCAACTTGTGGAAGTTCTTATCAAGCATAGATGGCTTGAACTCTTAGGAACATCTTGAAGAACAGCAACACAGCTAGTTCGGTAAGAGAGAGAAGAGGAAGAGAGACGATTGAAAATAAAGCAAACACAAGACTTCAACACAGCCAAGAAGCTGCAAAGAAATGAGAACTACACAAGAATGGTGTTGCCCACCATCTCGAGTACTCTGGGGTTTGAGTGAAAACAAGAAACAACAAGTATAGATTCCAAGGATTAAATCATCTGTAAAGAGAATAAACTCCACAACTAAGTGATAATAGGAAGTTCAAAGTTTCTAATTTTATGTCTAGGCATGGGCATGGGCATGAACCATATATAATGACTCCTGTAGCACAAGAATGAGCTAAATGCAATAAAGAACTATATCCTTTCCTATTTCCAGAACTATACTTGGGAACAAATAACAATACATGAAAATATAAAGAAAACATAAATTTTAGACATCCTAGTGGTTAATTCATTTTTGCAAATATGACAGATGTCATGTTTAAGTATCTTTGTATGTCGTTCAATTAAGAGTAGAAAAAACAAACCTAAATTTTAGCCTCTGGGCTACCAATGCTTTTGACTTCCCAGTTTTTTTTTTTTTTATCCTCAATGATGAATTCATCTCTTTCACTGTTGAAATTTCTTGTAATCCACCTGCAAGATTGACCCACCAATAATTGGCAAGGGCATTATCATCCTCGAGACACAGACCTTTCTGCATATTTCATAGATATCATAAATATAAGAACAGGTAAAGGTAGAGAGCTTTACTTTGGAATTTGCGCATGCCGAGGAGGGGAATGATGCACCGTCCAAGCGCCACGCTGCTGCTTCTGAAGTGTGACGGTAACAATGAGGACGAGGAGATTAGGATAAAATGGCAGTGGAATAATAATGACCAATTTAATCTTCAGATCATCCCTTACAATAAATAGAAACATTTAAATCACTCCGTATCACCAGGTGGTAGAGCCAGAAAAGAACAATAGAGACAATAATACTATGCCGAATTTGATCTTTTTCTCGTATGACAAACGGCATGGGGATCAATAAATCAACAAATTATCTGTACACGTAAAAAGGACACCATGACATGACCTCAGGCACCCATAATCACAACAGTTACAGGGGGGGGAAACACTTGTCGCCCGTGCTTCCAACACGGCCACAGATTTCTCGGAATTCCTACCCAATCTGGTTTTCCGGTGGAGTTGAAGACCAGGTGGAACCCGTCTACTAACATGGCGATGCATCAGAGTTCAACCTCGTGCAGGTCGTCGTCCCCCAGGGAACTACCATTCCGCTGCAGGGATGAGCTGCTGAATGCACCAGCTTGTGTGGTGGTGGTGCTGCCCATGGGATTCATCCCAGTCATCTTTTGATTGACTGATTCTGGGTAACCACCACTCCAAGATGCTGCTCTTGTTCTGGACAAGGGACCATTGCCAGTCCATGATGCTGCTGCAGACCCTTTGTTTCCAACAGGGGCTGCTATGTGATCCATGCTTGGGAACCGTTGCATGGATGATGAAGATGGTGATGGCGATGAAAAGGATGCTCCTCTGATCACTGATTTAGGTGGTTCTTCACCAGTGGAGACATCTTGGTTGTTCTTCCCTGCTGCATCAGTTTCCCGTTCGTCCACTGTTGCTGGTGTGTTGGGCACAAAAAATTTTGCTCCAACCAGTGGCTTCACAGATGGAACTGCAGGTGACTGGAAAGTGTTTGTCAAAGAGCCACCGCCCTTGTTGAATGTATCAACATATCTGAAAGGTGATAATGGAATATTAACATCCCTGCAAACCAGATTTATATTGAGAAGAAAGACCAATGGTAAATGATGACAAGGTCTACCTTGAACGAACTCCCATTCTACCACGAGCAGAAAACTGGTTTTGACTGGGTGGAATGGGTGGAATTCCAGAATTATGTTCCAATGGAACTGAAGGTGTTGTCACTGGCCCCAACTTATCTGTGTGGCTTTCACGCTGGAAAGCATCTTTGATGTTGTTCTCGCTCTTAAAAGCATTACTTGCATTGTAATCAGGCATACCATTCTGAAATGGTATTGTTGTTGGAGGTGGTGGTATGGCAGGTTCCTCAGCAGGAGGATCAGCACCTTCCTCCACCCATCTCTTAAGTTTTTCATCATAATAGAACTTGTTGCTTTCACCCAGTTTTGCCTTCGCATTACCAGGAACATGATATATATATATATATATATAAGTAAAATAGGGAGGATGTAGGGGTTGAGAAACCTAAAAGTTGCACAAACCAATTATGTCAGACAGTACCTGGCGATGCGACCTTGACACCCACCCCATGGTCTTCTGAAGAAGTTGTGAGCCAATACGTCCAAAGCGTGACCCACCAGATACTGTTGCTTTGCTTTGTGCACCATCTGAGCTTGAATCCTTCCATAATATTTTGTTGAAGTCAGTAAACAACCATAAAGGTTTTCTTTTTCTCATAAACTCAAAATTCACTGAATCTATATAGCTCATCGTGGTCGATGGAAAAAGCAAAATGAAAAAAGATAAAAGAGAACCAAAATATGGTAAACAAGTTGAACTGGATGAATTCAAATTTTATCTAAAAGAAGAGAAAAATCCACCTGCTTTGGGCTTCGACCAAAATCAGGCTCTGAAACGCTTCTGTTGTGCCTACTCTTTCTACTATTATCACCAGTCCACTCAGAAATGGTTTCTCCTGATGTTGATGGAACTAAAGAGGACATGGCCATTGTAGATTGACTATTTGCCACTCTTGGGAAAATAGTGTGGGTTTCTTTATCAGTAACACTCCTCTGAGGCATCGGCGGCAGAGGTGCTGGTGGTGCACCAATCATGCGATGAATGGATCTGTCAAAGGAGGTGAACAATTTTCCAACTAGATTTGCAGGAGCCAAGCTTGTACCATAGCCACCCTGGATAAATACAGTCGAAAAAGATCAGAACACTTCAAGAGTCTATGCAGCGATGATACAAGACAATCATAGGCACCTCCTACTGAATTACCTGCTGGTGGGCACGCAGTCTCTCCTCAAGGGATGATAACATTGATCTCCACATTTCAACCTCAGAAGTACGACCAGAGTTCTTCAGCAACTTTGAAGATGCTTGACAGTACCTATATTAGATCTGATATATAAGTCAAGAGACAGGGCAAAAACAATTAGAAAGAAAACTCTACTGCTCACTTCAGCGAATCTGAGATCTTCCCCACTTCAGCCAGCATGTGGGCATAAATTAGCTTGTATGGCTGGAAAGGCAGTAGGATGAACTGAGAATTTCCAAG